TCTCAGTATATATGTGTGTGTCAGTATGTCTGTCCGTGTGTATGTCTGTGTAAGTATGTATGTGAGAGGTGCAATTGCATGCCAGGGAGTGGGGGTGCCCATGGGGCCCAAGAAAATGCTTTGCCCGCGGGGCCCAAGAAAATGTTTTGCCCAGGGTCCTAGTGATATTAAAGACGGCCCTGCACATGTGACTGGGAAAGGGAGGGAGCCGCTGTCAGAAATGGACACATATTGCGAGCGGTCCGATACATACGATCGAAACCAGGTTAGCGAACGATCACCAATACCTGAGTTTTTGAGTTTGTGCAGTAGAATGTCGTGGTCTACTGTGTCAAAGGCCTTAACAAAATCAAGGAAAATAGCTCCAGTTAGGTCTCCTTGTTCCATGCCAGTCTGGATAGTTGATCTCTGTCTCTCTCCTAGACGCTTTTACTATGGAGGATTTTTTAGACATAGTCATTCATGCAGTTACATCATTCAGAACATATATAATCACACAAAACAGTGTCTCGTGCAAAGAGTGATTGGGTAGCCACATGTAAGAGATTTTGACTGTACCTCCTGTCCAGGGGTGACCAAACTCCAAAGGTGATAAACAGTAATATAAAAGACTGGGAACAGGTCTAAAGTGCAGGCAGATTCATTGGATAAAGAGAAGCAACGTTTCGGCTCCTAACAGAGCTCTCTCTCTCCCTTCCTATCCCCCTCTCCCCCCTTTACCAAGCACAGGGAAGGAGGAGGCTGTTTCTACAACCCCTGTGGTCCCGGATGTCTAGTGGTTGGGGACGCTGGGAACTCCATCCTGAGCATGAGATTTAGTTTCAGTAGGTGTCTATAGCAATTGTAATGGATGTGTATTAGACAAGTGCATTTGCAAGAATGAAAAATAACAGAAAATTGAGTTTTTCATTCATTTAGTCAGAATATGGATGTGAATGCATAATTGAACAAATGATCGAATGGCTCTCCGACCAAATGCCATTTGCAGCGAGCAGCCACTGCTTAGCATACATGCCCCCACTGTTAGCATAGTGAGCACGGTCTAGAGCAGGTATAAAACACTTATACCACATAAAAACGTATTGAATCAATTTTGGCCATTTTGGGGCTGAAGAAGAGAAGATTTTAAACAAAGACATCAAATTAAAACCACTGACAAGTGAAGTGAATAACATTGATTATATCGTTACAATGGCACCTGGCAAGGGGTGGGATATATTAGTTCTGAGTTACTTTGACAAGGGCCAAATAGTGACAGCTAGCTGGGTCAGAGCATCTCCAAAACAACAGGTGTTGTGGAGTGTTCCCAGTATGCAGTAGTTCGTAGCTACCAAAAGTGGTGCAAGGAAGAAGAACTGGTGACCTGGCATCAGGGTATTCGGCTCTCACGGCTCATTGATAAATTTGGGGAGCGAAGGCTATCTCATCTGGTCTGGTCACACAGAAGAGCTGCTGTAGCTCAAATTGCTGAGAAACGTGCTGACTATCATAAAAAGGTGTCAGAACACACAGTGTATCGCAGTTTGCTACATATGGGGCTACATAGATGCAGAGTGCCAATGTCAACCCCTGTCTACAGCCGAAAGTGCCTTCAGAGGAAACTTGACTGTGGACCATTACCATGAGGAATAAGAGACCACCTGATTCCATTTGGAGGGCAAAGTCTAATATTACCAGAGAGATTTTGTTCCCCTCCCCAAAAAAAGAATAGTCAACACCCACCAAAAACCTATGCAGAAGCAGTCATAATAAGGAGAATAAGGGAACACCAAACATTAAAAAAACCAAAAAAGCTTTTTACAAAGAGCAGCTACAGGAAACCCCTATCTTATTCCTCTCCTGTAAAAGTAAAATAAATCGATAAACTGACCATTTTCAATTAAGTGCGTGACTCAAGGGTCACCAAAGTTTGTGACATTTTCAATTAAAAACGTCCACATAAAGAAATATACTATATTTTATCTGTGATGTTCAATACTTTCCTTCCTGTTATTTTGATTTTATTTTCATAGTAAATTCTTGGTGTTGCCCATGTACCATTCCACCCCAGATTGTCCTCACATCCACCTCTTAAGCTGTTCATGGACCCATTTTACGTCAGAATCCAAATAGTTTGCATTTCTTTCCCTCAAATACTTTTTGCCTGGTTCCTTCGCTCCATGTTTGGTTTGGCACTCTTTGAAACGTGAAATAACATCAGACTGATTAAGGGAACATTTGTGGCATTCGTCTTCGTCTACAGATGATTTCTTTTCATTATTTATCGTTGATGAATGTTAGTGTGTTTGAAATATCCCCAGCTCCGTGATTTCCTGCATTAAATACTTTCCACCGTACTTTCCAAGTACATTCATTGGGAATAATTGGTAGATGAGAATGATTATCACAAATTCCTTAATTCATTCTTGGATCCAATGACTTTGTCAGAATAAACACAACCACTGGTCTAAACAGTGATTTCTGATGCACGAAAAATAAATTTAACTGGCCTTAAACACTGACAACGTATTAAATTCACGATCGAGTTCCTAATGATTAATTGGACCCCCAAATCTCATGGCACATTAGAATATCATTATAAATTAGTATCTGTAATTATCATAACTTTGGATATATTATGATTTTGGCACATTGAGTAAGGGCAGTAAAAATGTGTTATTTGTTGCCACGTTAAACTGTGTTTGTCCTGGGTGTTCAGTGATCAAGCGCACAACTTGGCCTTAAATCCCTCTAGTCTAGAATTGGACATTCTGTATGGACCCCATAGAACTGAATGAGGCACTCTTTATTAAGGGTCTCTTCCGGATGAGGGATGAGTGTGCTTTTTTATTTTTTTTATATAAATGTTTTGCATTATTTTTATTGTATTATCTATATGATATATTATAAACATGGGTCCATTTCCTTTGGTTTCACAATTCTTGGTCTCAACAACCCTAGAGGTTAAAAACCAGTTCATACACTGGCCCCTAAAGCCATATACAGAGCATACAGTTTGTCGTGTTTGGCCAATCTGTAGTTAAAACAAATCTACTGTCTTGTCTGAGATGTGCATTTGCAAAGTTCTCCCATCTTTACCTCCAGCAAGATGATTTTTTATTCCAAAAACGTAGTGCCTGCCAACATGCCAAAGTTTTTTTAAACGTAATAGACAGTAACACCACTAGGTGTCACTATAGTCATTAGCACCACATTGGTGTAACGTGGTCGAAACTTTCTCAGCCCCTTAAACAAACCAGATATACTGCGTGTAATATAATCCATATATAATATTTGTTTAATTATATTCGATTCACCTTTTTCATTAAAGTTACACTTTTCTAAAATGTATAGAATTTTAGAATAGTTAAAAATGATACTTTGTCTTTTAAGTATATTTTACATTACTGTAACGTCTATAATATTTTCTTTGTTTTAACTAACATGAGATATATATATATTTTTAAAAACCAACGCAATGATCCCCAGCTGTTGTATTATCCGGTAATGCTTTGCCACCCTCAAGGTACCGGTGGGTGGAATTCTAAAAAAAGGTCAAGTGAAGGAAATGCTATTCAAAAAATATTATACTATTTGTTTTTAAAACAATTGCACATGCTAAGCACACAAGGTAGGATATAATGGATTATTTGTTAATTAATTTTAGATTGCAAGCTTGTTTAGGCAGTGTACTCTTTCCTACACCTACTTTTCCCATATGTCACATGTGTTTTGTCAGAATTAATTGTTTTTTGTTGTTAATCTTTTGTACAGCACTGCAGAATATGTTGGCACTATATATAATTGTAATTGCAATTCTTTGTAGAACACTCCTTGTCATGACATTCTGCTATGGTCATGGAACCCTTGTCACGTATCACGCTACTTATTTGTTGCTGCTGGGAGATGAACTGCTTATCACCTAACACCTCTACCAGTGGGCTGCAGAAGCGACCGTTCCTATTTTTTAATTCTTTATTTTTGGAGTGCAGAGTAACATACACCATTATACAAAGTAAAACACAGTAAGTCATAGTAACCAAATACAGAAGTCAAGAAATGTAAGTTAAAGTGTTATTCCACTGTTAAAAATCAAACTATTATTAAATTTCCTTGATATTTATCTATGCCCCAGGTGACTGCTGCCCAGCCCTCCATCACAGATATTACGAAAGTAGACGTTTTACATCTGTATTAGCAATTATCAAGTTTATTTATTTATTTTTTTAGATGGCCGTTTCACTTAACAGTAGGTAATTAATGGAAATGAGTATATATCTATATTTGGATTTTTTAAAGGGTACTTCTCATGAAAATACGACTTAATCTTAAATGATAGAGAATAGAATTTAATCTATACATTGTGCTAGCAGAGTGGCTAGAAATTTTTCTAGATTTTTTTTTTAAATCAGAGATGAAATACAACGCTTTCCCTGTTCTCACAGTCTGTGCCCAACCAATGCGGAGGAACACAGAGAAAAGAAGGCTGTGCTCTGCATGTCTGTCACCAGGAAACCCTACTCTGGGTGACTCTCTTGCTTTTCCCCAGCCTAATGGAAAACAATGTTTGCAAGGGGAAGGAGGGATGAGGGGCAGACTCTGTGTGAAAGCAGTATCAGCAACTGGAGAGAAACAGCCAGAATGATTTATTACAGGAGCTTTGGACAGGCAGTCTGAGAATGGAGAGAGAGAACAGATGTGTTTTATTTACACAATCAGGATTATTCAAAGTGAATTGAAAATTTAAAATCAAAATAGCTAACCTGGAAAAATTCTCTAATCAAGCTACACTTTCAGTTCAGCTACGGGGACCTTAAATTTGAAATTCACTTTCAATTCACGGTTTAGTGAATAACCTTACAATTGTTGAGGACTTTTAACCTGTTTTGAGAGGCGTGTCTTATAGCAAGTATAACACCCACTGAAAGCTGAAACAAATGATTGATGCTCTCAGCAGGGGACAGAGATTATGGAAATAAATATAGATTTTTTTAAAACTGCTTTTTTCCTTCTATTGGTAACTTAAAAAATGTACATATCAGTGTACTGCAAAATACACACATAACATTCATAGTTTGCAGTTCACTGATTTACTTATTTTCATGCCTTATGGTTTATTCAAATGATTTTCTTAAAGTGGTCACAAGTACAAAAGTCCTCTGAATTGAAAAGCCACAAGAGTTAATCTAGAACCGACTGAAAAAAAGGAAAAAGTCAGAGAATTAGACACTGACTCGCTCGTTTTCATGCCCTTTTGGTTTGTGGAATTGTTTTTCCTGAAATAATTGTATGGACGAAATTCATGCGAACTGAAAATGAACAAATTCCGCACCACCAGATCAATAAAATTATTTTGGGACAAATTGATTCGGCTGAATTATATTTCTTCATCATGCAAGTGTAACTCTAAAGTAACTTTGAATTCTGACTTTATTGAATGAGCTTGTAAATATAGAAATTCACACCTCTATATATTTACATTACATTCTCAGGCTGTGCCTGGACTGAACAGGATTGAATGACACTTCTTCCAAATCTTTAATATACATTTAAAGGGATCCTACAGTGACAGGAAAACAAACCCATTTTCCTGGCACTATAGGCTCCTGGAGTTCTCCCCTCCCACGGGACACCCCTCCCACGGCATTGAAGAGGTTAAAACCTGAATGTCTCTCGGCGCTGGGTCAGGCTCCGCCCAGGCAATGGCAGCGCACGCATTAGACCTTTTCTGACGCTGGAGGTCCGTGAGGACGTCCAGCGTTCGATAGCGGACCAAAAGTCAGTTTGGATTCCGGAAGCCCTCTAGTGGCCACAGAGGGCAGACTTAGAGCTGCGATGTAAACATTGCAGCACTAAGTGCAAAAGGGTCACAGCACCCAGACCACTAGTTGAAGTGGTCTGGGTGCCTACAGTGTCCCTTTAAGAGAAAGCATCACCTGTATCCGTCACTTTATCACACACGTTAAAGGTGATAGGTAATAATGTTATATTCATTGGTGTATTTTCCAAAGCAGCGACCGTTCCCATTTAAAAAAAATATATATATTTATTTTTTGAGTGCAGAGCAACATACAGAATTAAGCAAAGTATAAGACAGTATGTCATAGTAACCAAATACAGAAGTCAAGAAATGTTGCCCTTTTTTAGTTTTTTTGTTAATGGAGAAATTTGAGTATGACAATACAAGATATAAGATGTAAAAAGATGCACGATTTCTTTCGCTACATACAACTGCGAAGCTTCTTAGAGCAACCCGACAACGCCAAAGCAGCCACCACCACGCTCACACGGTTTGAGAGGTCATGCCTACATAACCCACTTCACAAAGGTCAAATTACGGAAAACTACACACTTCTTATCACCAACCAACCCAAGGGGGCCTCGGCATATGTTGGGGCTTGGGAGAGGGACTTAGGGCCACCGGGCGACCCCACGGACTGGCAAGATATCTGGGAGGCAACGGCCTCCATATCCATATGCGTTAACCATAAGGAGCAAGCATATAAAACACTGCTCCGATGGTACCTAACCCCGGTACGTTTGTACCATATGGGCAAAGCAGACGCGGACCTATGCTGGAAAAACTGCGGGCAGAGAGGCACATACATACACACCTGGTGGCATTGCCCTAAACTGGCCCCACTGTGGGCGGAAGTGGCTACCCTAGTCTCAACACTCCTCCAGACCACCATACCATTAGACCCCTGGACCTGGCTCCTCTCCAGACCACGAGAGGACCTGACCAGAGCCCAAAACAAAATGACAAACAGGATAGCCTTAGCGACTAGACAGGCAATAGCCGAAGTATGGGGATCGCCAAACACCCCCACACTGCAAACAATCATACGCAAAACCAGGGAAGCAATACACATGGATAGGCTATCAGCCATAATTCATGAGACCTCTAAGCACTTCCACAGAATCTGGTTATCTGATCCCCACCTACAATAAGGGCACACGGACAGCCTCCACCTCACCCACCAGGCCCGCTACTCTAACATAGCGATCAAATTACCAACGCACTGAAACTCACAGTACAAATATTACCCCAACCCGAACCATTGGATGTCTACTGGGCTCCCGAAACAGTGTCCCGCCATGGTACTCTCACCCTTGTACATAGGTTCTCCACCCCCCCCCCAACCGACCACCCAGACACATGGGCGCCCATTAGTACGCAACGAGGACGATAAAAACAGTCAAAAAGAGGGCATCCCACCCTACCACAAAACGGTTAACGAGACAAATCGCAAACCTCATACGGCCACCAATACAGGTTTGTCCAAACGAATCGGGCATAGGGAATAAGTCCAAGACAGAAATCCCTGAACCCCGCACTATTGCACGATAAACGCCTAACCAACGGACCGCACCAAGACACAGTTACTTATTCGCAACACCCTAAGGCGCAAAGACATGTGTGAAAATATTGTGCTCCTGTACCATTGTGGCTGTATTACCCCCTCCCTCCTTCAATTCTGTACCCTAATGTTTCCTTTCTCCACACCGGAAAACAATAAATAAAGAATGTTTAAAAAAAAAAGATGTAACAAGATGATTCCCTCAGGAGGTCACCACTGAGACAGCATAAGGAGTGAAGGACAGAGTGACCAGACCAGAGACCTAGGCTAAACAATTAAAGGGACACTATAGTCATCACAACAACTACAGCTTAACCCCTTCAGGACGGAGTCAATAGTACACGTTCTGATCAAAACAAAACGTAAACAAAAACTGGAATTTGCGCTATATGTCTGTCCAACCGTAATTCACCGCTGTCACATTAAGTGCCCTCACACTTATTATATATCATTTTGTTCAGGAGAAACAGGGCTTTAATTTATCATTAACTATTCATATATGGAACATAATTTATTATGAATAAATTAAAAAAAAACCTGTGAGAAATTAAGATTTAAAAAAAAATTGTAGACATTTCAGCTGTAAATGTCATGATACTGTTAGCTTTAACTGCAAAAAAGAGCACGTATTTGGATTCAGCAAAGTCTCACTAGTACAACAGTACCCCCCATTAACAGGTTTTACGGTGTTTTGGAAAGTTACAGGGTCAAATATAGAACGTTCCATTTTTCACATTGAAATTCGCCAGATTAGTAATGTTACCTTTGAGAGCGTATGGTAGCCCAGGAATGAGAATTACCCCCATGATGGCATACCATTTGAAAAAGTAGTCATCCCAAGGTATTGCAAGTGGGGTATGTCCAGGCTTTTTTAGTAGCCACTTAGTCACAAACACTTGCCAAAATTGGTGTTCAAATTACACAAAAAATATTAACGCTAAATCCCTATTTCTCCTGAATAAAATGATATATAATAAGTGTGGGTGCGCTTAATATGAAAGAGGTGAAGTACGGTTGAACAGACATATAGTCAAATTCCAAGTTTTGTTCACGTTTTATTTTGATTAAAACATGTACATTTGGCTCAGTCCTTAAGGGGTTAATGCTTCGAAGGTAAATATTGCTGTTTTTAATAAAACGTGATTTGTTTTAGTGAGCTATTCCAGTTATTAACATCATTTAATGGGAAATTTTAGATACCAAGGGTTTGTTAGGTGTACACATAGAGTTAAAAAGAGTGAAAGTTTTAAAACAAACATTTTATTTATGAATGTATTTTAGGAAGTATAGGTGACTGCTTTGCAGCTTATTCAGGTATAGAGCTACTGAATGAGACAGTTTTCTCAGAAGGATTGCATGTTAAGCAAACTCTCAGCATATAAATGAGGAAAACTTAAATATTGCAAACTGTGCTACACTAATGTAATATTATGTTTAGTTACTCCTTTATTTCTATCCTCCCTGAACTCTATATCAGAACTCATGGTTCCCACTCAGCTCTCTTCACACAACCTCCAAAGTGATTATAAAATGGCTGCCAGCACCGTAGAAGGAAAAGCTTACACACCGCAATGAGATGCATTGTCAGCCCCTCACACGGACCTCTGTGGTGGATGTACACATTGCACACAACATTCTAACCACTTGTAGTAGACTTGCAGCAAATTTGCAAAGCACGTTGATCTGGAGACTTGCAATGCAGACTTCAAGCAAATGTGCAACAAACTTGTGAAGCTTGGCAAGTCAAGCTATAGCATAGCAAGTCATTTTCAAACTTGCATCTCAATGGATTCCTATCAGGGCAGTGTTTTGAGCTGGATTTTCCCCTGCTGGCTTTGAGGCGAGTGAGATTGCAGACATTTGTGGAGCTGTTTGCCCAAATGCTGCAAAGATTCTGTCGAGCCTTGAGATGAAGTCCTCTTCCTCCACTGCTGGAACCAGTGGCGGATCCAGAGTCTGATCTCGGGAGGGGCACTTGTAGATTATTTAAAGAAATAATCCATACACAATAACCACTACAGCTCTGTGTGCCAAGAGTGCCGAGAACCCCTCCCAGAGTAAGTAGTCAAACCGTTTAAGAACAGTTTGACAACTTACCTAGGGTCTGCTGGGATATGTGGCTGTAGTAGGGCATACGAGCAGTGGTGGGAGTGTTGCAGTATGTGTGTATGAATGTGTAGGGTGTGTGGGGCAATGTGTGTATGGGTGGCTAAGTATGTGTGTGTGAGGCAATGTGTGTAAGGGGGTGCAGTGTATGTATGGGGGGCTGTGTTTGTGTGTGTGGGGGCAGTGTATGTGTGTGTGCGGCTATGTGTGTGTGGGGCAATGTGTGTATGGGGGGGCAGTGTGTGTGTGTGTGGGGCAATGTGTGTATGGGGCAGTGTGTGTGTGGGGGCAGTGTGTATGGGGGGTGTGTATGTGTGTGTGGCTGTGTATGTGTGTGTTAGGTCAATGTGTGTACGGGGGCAGTGTGTGTGGCAATGTGTGTATGGCGGGCAGTGTATGTGTGTGTGGGGGCAATGTGTGTATGGAGGGTGAGTGTATGTGTGTGTAGGGGTAGTGTGTGTATGGGGGCAGTGGGTGTGTGTGAGGGGGAGGGGCAGTGTGTGTGTGGCTGTGTATGTGAATGCAATGTATATGTGTGGGACAATGTGTGTATATGGGGGCAGTGTATGTGTGTGTGGCAGTGTGTGTGGGGGGCAGTGTGTGTGTGTATGTGGGGGCAGTGTGTGTGTGTGTGTGTGTGGGGGCAGGTGTGTGTGTGTGGGGCGGTGTGTGTATGGGTGGCTGTGTGTGTGTGGGCAATGTGTGTTTGTATGGGGGGCAGTGTGTGTGTGGGGGCAGTGTGTGTATGGGTGGCTGTGTGTGAATGTGTGGTGAGGAAGGTAGGGGGGCTTTTTCATAATTAAAAAAATAATAATAAAAATAAGTATTCATTATGTCTCCCCCTCGGTCTCTGGTGGTCCAGTGTGGA